CTCATATACAATATTTTACTCAGTTCGACTATTCTATTTTGTCCATAAATGCCTGCACCACCCTGACCACTATTTCGCAGCTGTAAATAGGAACATAAATTCTTATAAAGTCATAAAGCAAGGACGGATGTGCTACGTGGTCTGTTTTTTCATTCTAATATCTACCTGATGTATTTTTGTTTATTTCGTTTTTATATGCTAGAATCCTCTTCAGCTAAAAATCTTTTATTTGTTTTATAAAAAAGATGATTTTTTTATCTTATATTGTCATGTGAAAATTTAAGGTATTGTTGGGAATGAAAAAATGTTTAAATATTGATAAAATATTTTCTATTTTTACTTAACAAATTAAAACGACAATTCTAGCATTTCTTCTTAAAATGAATAGTGAAATGCTCCACCTAAAACAGACAATTTGAATAAACATAATACTACTGTGGTCTTGCTGCTATCAAAAATAGGTTAAGCAATAAATGAAAGCAAAACAATTTATATATCAGCTATTGGCTACAATGTAAGTTAAGGATATCATCTATCTTGGCACCATTATTACTAACAACAACGATGTCAGCTTAAAGATTAGATAAAAAATTACGATTGCCAAAAAATGCTACTATAAGTTGAGTAACAATTAAAATATAGTGCGATCTCTCTCGTTCAATAAAACTTACCCTCTATAAGCCGCTCATCCAACATGTGCTTCTGTATGGCGCAGAAACATAATTGCTATCACAGAATAATGAAACAACACTGGAACTATTGTAGAGAAAATTTTTTTATAAGGTCATCAATCCCTCTATGACTGACCGATAACTATCATGCTCTTAATATGTAAATAAGCAAGTCATAAATGTTCAGAAATTCTTTGCTTAAAATATTACTATAAGAATTTTAAAATAAATTTTAATGATATCCTTCAATCCATTATTGTTTTGAACTATTTGTTAAAATATTTGGGAATTTAACTATCTTTTATACCGTTGGTTAACTTTTCCTTCAAATCTTCAAAAATAAAAAATTTAGTCAAAATTCGAAGTTGACGAGATCAAAGAATCATCCATTTGTAAAAGGACTTGATCACTTACTATACTACTTTTCTTTGTTTCACTTATTGACTAAACTATTCTAATAATGCTTCTAAAAAGGTTAAAGTGGAGCTATTTTTAATAATATATTATTATTATATTTTTATTTATTCAATAACAATTCAATAACAAGTAAATATTGAATTATTTTATATCTATATTATATAAAATAGATTTAATGTTAATTCTTTAAAAATAAATATTATCTTCTTTAAGTGATTTTTGTTATTATTAAACAGTTTTTAGATTATTCTCAGTTTTTTCCTTCAGTA